CCCCCGACACCGGGCCCGAGAGTGAGTTGCAAAGTTGCGTGCGGGAGTTGGGGCTGGGGGAGGAAATGCAGCTGTGCATACTGCCAGTTGCGGCCATCGCCGGATCTTGTACGTTGAGGCTAGATGTTTGCAGACCTGGCCATGTGGGAACTCACCGAGGGATTTCGGGGGTCCTGGAATTTACCCTTTAAGTTAAATCTGGGGTGAGGATGGAAAAGGAGAATAATAAATAAAAGAAGGTTGACTTATTTTGGATTAAGATATACTGGAACTTGGGAGAAGAGAAAGGTTTATTTGGTAACTAAAAAGAAAAAACCCTCTTCCAGATAAGTCAAAATGTAAGTTACTCTTTGTGAGTGGTGGGTGTATGGGTATTTGTATATATATATTTTTGTGCACTTCTGTAACTTTACTTTGGAGGTAAAAAATCCGTCCATAAAGAAAATTTCATCATTTCTCTCCCTTGGATTTCTCTTTCCTGAACTCGGAAAGTTATATAATCATCGGGACGGTTATCCCGATTCTAGCCAGGGCGAAGTTGAACGAGCGCGTGCAGCAGTTGGAAGGGGAATTTGCAGATTTCACGCGTGCAGGCCAGGGACGGGAAGAGAAGAGGCAAGCTGTGCGGGCGGTCCTGGGTTCTGCAGACACCCGAAGAAACTTTGGCCCATTCCTCTCTGGCTTCCCAGCCTCCCCGAGTGCACGCCTATCCAAGGGGTCCCCAAACTGTGCCACCTCCAGGGGCTGCGCATCGACTTTGGCCGGGTTTAGAAGTACAGCCCACACTCAGCAAACAGATCGGCTCTCTTTCCTGACCTTTCCATGTATGTTGCTTCCTGCAGCGCTTTACATTTTGCAAAGCCCTGTCTCTCCGAGAAATTCATTTTGTTTCCCAATGAAGGCAGGATGCACGAATCCCCATCTCAGTATGCCACGAGGTAATTGCACCACCCAGGCATCCTCTTCCAAAGCAATATCCTCAGGGTGAGGGCTCCATGTCCCCTCAGTTGGGCCCCCTCGCTACTGGTGCAGGGCCCTTGAGTTTAAGAACTCAGCCTCTCGATCCACTTTCCTCAGGCACCAACTCACTTTCCCCTGCTACAGCTCTGTCCACCAGAAGTCACATAAGTGCCATTTGTCAGGGCAAGGCAACGAGCCCAGCTGGTGACATTTGGAGTTGGTGCCCAGCGCTGCTGTGAACATCTGACTGTGGAGGTCAGGGTGGCTCTTGCTGGAGTCCACAGGACTTTGGGCTACTCCAGGGCAGGGCGCATCATCGGAATGGCATTTAGAGTAGAAATATGAAAGACAGCAATTCATTCAGCAGACAAATATTTATGGAGTACCTACTCCGTGCCAGGCATTGTTCTAGGCAGGGAAGCAGGGGTGATCAAGACAGACAAGGCTTTTCTGTATGGAGAGTCATTTAGTAAGTCAGACGGATGGTAAGCAAAGATGCAAATAAAAAATAACAGCTTCTGATAAGTGCAGTGGAGAAAAATAAACAAGGAAAAAAACCCAAATTCTACTGTGTTCATTTTCTTAGTATATGCCAAAAAATGATCTAATTGAATCCCCAAGACAATCCTAGGAATTATGTCCTATTCCTATCATCCCGATTTACAGATGAAGAAAGTGAGGCACAGAGAGGCTAGGGTGGTTGCTGAAGGTTGCAAACTGAGCTCACACAGCCAGGAAATTACAGAGCCAGGGCTGGAACTCAGGACAGCCTGAAACTACAGCCCTCGTTCATATTCAGTAAAACCCATCAGTGAACCCCCACAGCATTCACATCCCTGGCACATACCAGGCACATATCAATGTGGAACCCAGTGGAATGACTGAAATGTGTCTCTGCCCACAATAAAGTGCCATAATTTTCCACAGCAAAATGGCAGGTGTGTTAACCTCTTGCAACATCATCAGGGCTGGAGGAGGACTTCAGACTGAGCTGGGACATGGGGAAAGCCTCTGTCCCCAGCCTGTTTTCTGCTGAGCAACTCCCCTCCAGAGTTCAGTTCTGCTGGCACATGCCTAAGTGATTAGCTGGCTCTGAGCCTGAGCATGGCATAGCTCACCAGGGTGGGCCTGCGCCGCTCCCAGGAACCAGCAAACAGCTCATGGAGGAAAGCACTGATTCCCTATTCACCTTTTCCTGCCATTATCAGCACTAGTAGCTTTCCAAATATCAGTTAATATAAGCATCTTGTCAGAAAGGATACAGCCTAATAAATGGAATGTCCCTTCCCCTCTCTAGGCCTCAGTTTGCCTATCTGTAAAATGAGAAGAGTGGATTAAAGTGCACTTTTCAAACTGTCTTTCCTGGTTCCACAGAGCTTTCTTAGGGGGCTGCTGAAGATGATGGGGAGCTGATGATTAGAAGAGAGTGGCTGTGGCCAAAATATTGGAAACCCAATAGTGTCTCTGAGGATACTTAGACTTTGAGGGGGGATCCCAGTGCCTGAAGGGACCTGGCTGATAATACAAAAGAATTCAGCCTCTGGGTAGGGACTGGAGCAAACTGAGCCCACGTTTCATCCAAGGGGGTGGCCACTTCTCAGCTCCAGTCCCCTGGGGCCACTTGTGGCCACATCCTCTGAGTTTTTGGTAAAACTTGAACATATGGATTTTTGTGTGAAATGTTCCAATTTTAAAAAGTCGGTCATGAACTCAAAATCTTCTAAAACAGTGTGAGGCAGACAAAGTATATCTGTGGGTTACATTTGGCCCTAGGCCAGCAATTTGGAACTCTGTTCTAGAAGGCTGGGGATGAACTTTATTCTCTCCTTCCTTGCAATTTAATGAGCATTAGGATTGTGGTTAGATGACTGAAAGAAGTGTTGGTGGCCAGGCACAGTGGCTTACGCACTTTAGGAGGCCGAGGTGGGTGGATCATTTGAGGCCAGGAGTTTGAGACCAGCCTGGACAATATAATGAAACACCATCTCTACTAAAAATACAAAAACTAGCTGGTCATGCTGGTGGGCGCCTATAATCCCAGCTACTCCAGAGGCTGTGGCATGAGAATTGCTTAAGCCCGAGAGGTGGAGGTTGCAGTGAGCCGAGATTGTGCCACTGCACTGCAGCCTGGGCAAAACGGTGAAACTCCGTCTCAAAAAAAAAAAAAGGGAAAGAAGTGTTGAGTGTTGGTGATGAGGTTTGCCTGCAAATCTAGACCTCCCTGGACATTCCGGGGGTTTTATACAAAGGAGGGAACCATGGGGAAAAAGTATGGGTGAATGCTCTTTGACAACATCCACAGTTCTATCTCGGCGTCCTGTGGTGTTACCAGCAGACACTGGTATTCTTTTGGGCAACGTTTGTCAAGACCCTACTGGGTGTCAGGCACTATGTGAGAAGCTGGGGACATAGCCGTGAATGAGCCAGGCTTACTCCCTGTCCTCATGGAGCTCCCAGTCTAGAGAAAGACACAGACGGGAACAGATAAACCGTTTGGGGAGGATAATTTCAGAGAGTGGCGATTTTATGAGAATATTAGAAAGGGTCATGTGACCACACAGGCGGACTCTGAGGATTTGACATTTGAGTCAAGATGTGAAGGATGAAGAAGAGAAAGTCATGGGAAGGATGGCATAGGGGAAGAATATTCCTGACAGAAGGACCACCAAGTGAAAAGGCCCTGAGGCCGGAACAATCTTCCAGTGTTGGAGGAATGGGAAAAAAGCCAGAGTGGCTGGAGTGCAATGTGAAGGGTAGAAGAGTGTCCCAAGTGGGGGTTGGAAGGCCGGGCGCAGTGGCTTACGCCTGTAATCCTAGCACTTTGGAAGGCCAAGGCAGGCAGATCACCGGAGGTCAGGAGTTTGAGACCAGCCTGGCCAACATGGTGAAACCCTGTCTCTACTAAAAATACGAAAATTAGCCGGGAGTGGTGTCAGGGGACTGTAATCTCAGCTACTTGGGAGGCTGAGGAAGGAGAATCGCTTGAACCTGGGAGGTGGAGACCACAGTGAGCTGAGATCGCACTATTGCACTCCAGCCTGGGTGACAGAGAGACTCTATCTCAAAAAAAAAAAAAAAAAGAAGAAGAAGAAGGTGGGGATTGGAGAAGTGGCTAGAGGCCAGATTGCTCAGAGTTTTTTGTTCGTTTGTTTGTTTTGTTTTGTTTTGTTTTCCGCTCTTGTTGCCCAGGCTGAAGTGCAATGGCACGATCTTGGCTCATTGTAACCTCCACCTCCCAGGTTCAAGTGATTCTCCTGCCTCAGCCTCCCAAGTAGCTGGGATTACAGTCACCTGCCACCACGCCCCGGCTAATTTTTGTATTTTTAGTAGAGACAGGGTTTCACCATGTTGGCCAGGCTAATCTCAAACTCCTGACCTCAGGTGATCTGCCCCCGTCGGTCTCCCAAAGTACTGGGATTACAGGCGTGAGCCACCACGTCCGGCTGACTCAGGGTCTTATAAACCACAAGAAGACATTTGGATTTTATTCTAAGCTTAACAGGAAGTCACTGCAGGATTTTAGGTAGAGGAGTAACATGATCTGATTTCACTTTTTTTTTTTTTTTTAGAGACAGGGTCTTGCCCTGTTGCTCAGGCTAGAGTATAGTGGTGACATCATGGCTCACTACAGCCTTGATCTCTAGGCTCAAGTGATCCTCTTGCCTCAGCCTTCCAGGTAACTGGGACTACAGGTGCACACCACCAGACCCAGCAAATTTTTAAATTGTTTGTGGAGACAGTGGTCTTGCTATGTTGCCTAGGCTGGTCTTGAGCTCCTGAGCTCAAGCAGTTTGCCCGCCTCCTCCTCCCAAAGTGCTGGGATTACAGGCATTAGCCACTGCGCCCAACCTGATTTCATGGTGTGTGTGTTTTGTTTGTTTGTTTGTTTGTTTTAGATGGAGTCTCTCTCTGTCGCCCACGCTGGAGTACAGTGGCATGATCTCAGCTCACTGCAACCTCTGCCTCCTGGATTCAAGCGATTCTCTTGCCTCAGCCTCCCTAGTAGCTGGCATTACAGGAATTCACCACCACACCCAGCTAATTTTTTGTATTTTAAGTAGAGACGAGGTTTCACCATGTTGGCCAGGATGGTCTTGAACTCCTGACCTCAAGTGATCCACCCGCCTCGGCCTCCCA